GTAGATTACCTGAGGGGCCTTCCCATCCACAAATGCAGCTTTATTTACGTCATGTTATAGCTTTGGGGAAAAAAGAGAAATAAACACAGCCTATTTGGTATTATTATTTATATTTCTTTTCAGAGGATGGGCTCTCCTTTCAATCTGGTTTCTCTCAATATTTCTTCATTAATTTGTCTAGACATTTGTCCTGACCATTCTTGGCTTGCTTATTAGGGATAAAATCTCTAGGCAAATAAAATATAATTATGAAGTCAGTTAATGGAGTCAGTCAAAACAAGGTTTAAACAAGTGTGGCCTGGCCTTTAGTTTTCACAATTGCTTGTTTGCCAGTTTGGCATCGAAATTATTTCAGAATGTATTCAGCTTTCGTCCGGCAGAGATACATTACACAGTAACTAAACTACACAGCAAGTGAATACACAGCAGTTCAAACCTACATTACGGAAAAAAACAAGTTTCTACCATTTTGAACTTAAAATTTGAAATGTGAATTTATATTACATCATGTTTATTATTGTGATAATTATGCCATGATGTTATTTATATTTCCATCAAATTGTAGTACCAGAGGTAAGTACTTCTTCTTCTTTCTTATAAATCAAAGTCGGGGCAGTCAAGTTCTGCCCCAGATCTCTCCCATACAGCCTTGCACTTTTTTTTTTTGTCAGAGGATGGAAAATAAGGTTTGAAATATATTTAATGTCCAACCATGAGTATTTGTGCACGCATGGTTATCCGTTCAACATAGCTCACATATTCATCTGTAAAACATTTGTACGTCTGATCTGGAAGATCCACTAGGACAGAACAGAGTAGGTCTAAAACATCCCTGGGTGCCAGGTTTCCATGTCAACCTACAAAATGTTATTATCAGAATTTATACCACAGCGCTATTAAATTCCTGATTCTGATTGGTCAGAAGGTGGTGATTAATTTTCTATAACAGCAGGTTTTATCGTTGCTCTGGTTGCAAGACAAATGCCAGGTTTATTTTAAAGTGCTCATTCTAATACATTATAATTTCTATAGTTGTTATTTGTTGTTACTTGTATGGCAGACACTCCACTTAAACAGATTAAACCATAATTGTTGATATTGTGATGAGACGTTTAATGAGTATTTTTGGAAGGAGTCTCCAGTGTCAGTGCTTTCTCTTGAAGTCTCACGTTTCATATTAATTTGTATAACTTTTTGTGTATTTATATTTAAATGTATTTAATATATTTAAAACTATAACTTAGGTTATAGCATATATATTTCTTTCTCTTGAAGTCTCATACATTTCCCCTCAGCGTACGACACGCTCCCCAGTTTTTTTTGAGCAGCACTTTTTTGTTTTGTTTATACTGACCATGTGCATTTTGCTTTGAATTTGAGTCTTGTCTCCACCCCTCTCATGTCATTGCTATGTTTCCTGATTGTGTACATATGTTCCGTGTTTAGTTTTTGTCTTTATTTAACCTCCTATAACCCCCTATATCTGTATGCCCTATCATTATAAATGTGTATATATGAGCCGTGGTTACCTTTGTTTCCTTTGTTTCTTTGTTGTTAAGACTTCCTGATTGAGACCTTGGATTTACAATTATTTAAGGATAACCTTCAACCCTGCCTGGAACAGTGACTATGATTTTTTTTTTGGATTACCCCAATAAACCAAACTGAGTATACTCACTTGCTTGCGTCCTGCCTCACGCTGATGTATGGTACAATTAATGATTGTCATGTTATTGCACTTTGCCACATACTGGCAGGTGAATATTTAAGATAAAAAATGACTGATAATTGCTAATATCAGTTCAGCTGTTTTTTTTTTATGGAGTGCATTTAAGCTCTAATCCCAAACCAATAGCGGGTTCATTCATTTGTCCTTCATTTGTTGATCAGAAATCATGAAGCTTTTTCTCTTTGCTGTAACCACACAGATTCTTTTGTGCCATGTAAAAGGTGAGTGAGAAAGAAAATGAATGATAGCCTATAAATATCTGTTATGTGACAGCTTGTTTTTTTACTTGCTCATAAAAGCAAATCACAGTATTTGATTTCTCTTGGAATTTCTCTGCTTGGATCCATTGACTCAAATGATAGTAGCATGATATCGATAGTTGATTGTCAAATATTGATAGTGTCAGTTTGCGACCACTGCACTTAACTTGGAGATTTTTGCCTACTGGTCTGTTTCCCAGATAAGCAGTGACACCAAGGTGTTTAAAAATGCAACATACACAGCTGCAGTACTAATAATACTCGATCAGCTAAATAATATCTGGTCATATAGGCTGCAGTCAATAACCGTGTACCTATAATGTGTATACCTAGGCGAAAGTGATAAAAGCAGTGTGTAGCATATTTGTTGATGTTGTTGTTTTAGTATGCCTGCATTAATATAGCATTGTTGTTTGTCTAAAAGGAAACTGGTGGGAGGATTATAAAGAAAACATTAAGCACCTCAGTCAGGAGACACTTTATCAGGTAAGAGATTCTTGCTTACATGCATTACCACAGTTCACTGCATTTTTTTTTGAATCCGCTTCAATATCTGGAAAAGCATTACACAACTTCTTCAAAAGTCTGTCCTTATAGGTTTGCTGTTGTGGCTTTGCTTTGAACTGCAATCTTAAAGAAAATAAGGACACTCAATGTTCTTTAGATCATTAAGCTTTCTAAGTGGTTGTACTCAGAAGCTCTACTGAAATCTTTTCTGTTGCAGGGCTTTATATAGAAGCTTTAAGCACAGGACCCCTATGTGAAAGCTCAATTAATTTGACCATAGCTACTGAATAATATGCTTTAAGAAGAATGAATTCTATTTAGTACCTTTCGAAAAAAATAGTGGTTCTATACTGAAGCCCAAACCTAAAAGTAATGTCCTTAAAGTAAAACCCTCTTAGGAAACTATGGACCCTTAATTATTCAAAGAAAATGTGAAGAGCCTGAAATGACTGATTAATAATTTTAGACTCCAGGATGTTCAAGAGGTCTGGGGATGCCTGGACGCCTGGAAGAACTACTTGAAGCAAAGCCTGGGGGTCCATGATTTCCACTGAATTGTTATAGTCATGGAACTGACAATCCATAATTATCAAAGTTATTACAAGTATTGAGTTCTTACATTTATTATCCTGTTTGACTGGTCACTTGAATTGAATGGAGTTAATCCAAATTCAAATCCAAATCGGTCTATAAATAATGTCAATTTTAATCAAATTTGAATTGACTTCTATGAGTGCAAAGTTCAGGAATAAAAAGCTCCATGGCTCAGAGAAATAACAAGGATATTATTGTGCACATTTAACCCTTTCATGCATAAATGATTTATGTGCATATCCAGATTCATTTATATATCTTGTCTCTTAAAATGTGAATTTTGATGATATATTAATTTTTATACTAAATATTACTTGTATTAAAAAGTTAATGGGTTGTCCCCTAGTAAAAAAAAAAAAAAACAAGGTTAAAACAGTATGCTAGAAATAAATATTTTTAATTAATAATTTTTTTAATATAACATTCAGGTCTAAAATATGTAACATTCAAGGCAAATATATTAGAAAATAGAATTGTTGCATGACCCAAGTAATAAAAATTCATCTTGCAAAAAAAACAAAACAATCTAGTTTAAAAAAAATCTAACATGATCCCTGGAGTCTGGAACCAAATTTCTGTTATTTATTTATTTATTTATTTATGTACAAAGTTAATAAAGATCGAGAAAACCAAATAGTCTAGAGATTTAAGTTTATGTTATTTTATGTTAAATTACAATAATGCTCAAGTGATTTGGAGGTGATTTTCCTAAAATTAACTGGCCATAAATGTGGACACTATGCATGAAAGTGTTCAATAATGAGCCTAATATTTGTATCATTGATGATAGATTTTTTAATTTATTATTTTAATGGTTCTCTGGCTGCAAAATGCTTGAGAATCACTGAGGAAATATTTGAGACACAGATGAACTTTTTACTGTGCTAGAACTAATGATATTTGGCTTTTATGGGCGCTTTGCTCTTGCAGGAGTACCCAGATAAAGTTCGGCAGCAGGATTTCCAGCATCCACTTTTCCAATGTCCAGATATGAGCCCTTCTCCTACTGTACCCATGTCAGGTAACACAGATCTCGATAATAATAGAACTATAACATATATGATTTCAGACAAGTTGATTTACACTTCAACTAAGATGAGATGCATTGTGTAAAAGCTGCAGATTTACCTTTATAAATATAGCATTTAAAATATATATATATATATATATAAAATTGTATAGAAAAGAACCCTAAATTCTCTTGCTTGTTCGGGATCCTAGAATTTGCATGAAACAGGGTTTGACGCCACACTGTATCTTAATTATTTTACAGCACTTTTTAATCTACCAGAGACAACACCACTCTCTATATCTGCCTCACTTTCTAAGGCTTATCTGACTAAGCAAAATGGTCTTACTATTGAAAATGTGTAAGACTTCACATCAACCATTTAAAAAAATAAAATAAAATAAAAATGTACAAACAATTCAGGCTAAAGGAACAGTTCAGCCATTTTCTGAAACTTAAATTAAACTTAAATTGCAGCTATTTTATCATCTCAGTTACTTCCAGCTTCCAGTTAAACATTTCCCACCAATTCAAGCACTCAAAGTTTTAATGTTCAATTATGTATTGTATATACCCCTGCAATTATGTCCTTAAAAGTACACTTAGATATAGTGACAAAGTACAATTACAGTACTGACATACATGATATATCCAAAAGTTTGTGGACACCTGACCATCATACTCATATGTGCTTGCTGAAGATCCTATTCCAGATTCCCCCTTTGCTGTTCAATGGTAAATGGCACGCTTATATTGCGCTTTACACTGTGTCTCATTCACCCACACACACACACACACACACACCAATGGTAGCAGAGCTGCCATGCAAGGCACTAACTTGCCATCGGGAGCAACTTAGGGTTCAGTGTCTTGCAAAAAGACACTTTGGCATGTGGAGTCATGCAGGCCGGGAATCGAACCGCCAACCCTACGATTAGTGGACACCCACTCTACCACCTGAACCAGAGCCGCCCGTTGTAATGCTGTTATAATCACCTCCACTTTTCTGGGAAGGCTTTCCACTAGATTCTGGAGTGTGGCTGTGGGGATTTATGTTCATTCAGCTGCAAGAATATTAGTGAGGTCAGGTACTGATTTTGAGTGAGGAGGCTCCAGTTCCAGTTCATCCCAGTGCAGGACACTCGAGTTCTTCCACTCCAGCCTTGGTAAACCATGTCTTCATGGAGCTCGCTTTGTGCTCAGCGGCATTGTCATACCGGAACAGGTTTGGGCCTCTTAGTTCCGGTGAAGGAAAATTGTAATGTTACAGATTACATAGACGTGGAAAAGAACCACATATGGGTATGATAAGGTGTTCACAAACCTTTGGCCATCTAGTGTACTTTCCTCCTCTGTTGGGATGACATTAAAAATTGTTTTGACTTGCGATTGTGATCAGTCATTACAATTCTTACTAATTTTGCGTGAGAAGAGATTGGACTCAGTCCCACATGTTTATCTGCTTTCTCAGATAACAATGATCTCCCTACCCACCTCCGGTGCTTACAGAATGAGGCTCACCTGACTGAGATATCATGACACAATTATTGTATAAACTCAATACTGCTGTCATTACCAACGTCATACAATTCTGATCTTTATGTCGTCAATAAAGCACTCCTATAGCTCTCTACTGAGGACCCCCTGAGCCATTCCTGTTATAATTATTTTGTTAATTACTGCCATATACAGTAAGTTCCTTTGTATTAGCTGTTACTATGTGACAAGAAGAGCACATTATTATAAACCTGTGATTTGCCTTGCATCTGGAACTGCCGACATAGCTGCTGTTACAGAAAATGAATCAACACCTTCTGATCAATCAAATTTGAGAAGTAAACAACACTGTGGTATAATATAACATATTCTGATTAACATTAAGCGTTTCTGTTTAATCTTTTCTTGTTTGAAGTTTAACTCGTATAATATACATGTAAAATGAGTCCAACCTCCTATATTTTAAAACTCTGATCTCTGTCCTGTAATTTTTTTAATGACAGAGGTTACAGTTCTAATATAGGCACCTAATCTTTCACTTAATCTTTCTGTCCTTACTTGCTTGGGCCAAAAATCTTGTGCGAATGGCCTTTTTCCAAACCAATCATGCTGTTTCTCAAAGCCAACCTGTGTGTTTGTGTTGCAGTGGAAAAGGTGAAAGCAGCTGACATTAAAGTCATTGCCGCTTTAGGAGACTCTCTGACTGTAAGTAGCAGCTTTGAAATGTTATGGCTCAGTGGCTTCATATTCCCTCAAAGAACACTACATAGGGCATTAGTGGTTAGCTTTTACATCTCCTGGATTGCCCTAGCAGTTAAATATAGAGTATTTTTTTTGGAAAAGACTGCTGGGATAACTCTTCTAATTCCACAGCAAAACAATGTGACAATATTATAATTTAGGCTACTTATTTACCTTTTCTTGGTTGCCTGAAAACAATATTCTTGTGTAAAGAGCCTGTTAGTAATTACAGTGCTTAATGCAGTCACTCTGCCTAACGAGTGAAAACCAAGGTTTTCTCATGCAATAATCAACTATGTTTACATGCACATCAAATGTGCATCAGTATGTTCTTGTATACGTGGTTGTAGTATGCCCGAGTTGCCATTCCTAAATACCTAGCCTACAGCTAAGTGTCTCTTAGCACCCACGATTCCTTGCGGACTGAGCGTGCGCATATATCTCCTTTCAGTGGATTTTCTGAATAAGGTGCTGAATAACATGCAACAAATCTCCAGTTAAAACAGGCATATTCCAGTGGCGGGAATCAGAATTTGGGGAATCAGAATATCGTCTTAATCTGAATCGGACAATCGGACTTGACATGACTTTACGATACTAATTAGAATATCGTTAAATTCCGATTAATACTGGAATATTGATGTGCATGGAAACGTAGTCACTGAAGGAGAAAGTTCTTTTGGATAGCTATGTGCCATAGAGAAATGGGCTGAATTAATATAGCATGTAATCAGTTACCAAAATATCTGTGATGCTCCTGCAATAATGCTATCATTAAAACAGATAAGAACACTTTCACACACTATGCAGACGACAGTTGTAGAGCTATAAAATGTAAAATGTTTAAAAGCCCTAATAAAATTCTCATTTCCCTCTGTAGCCGCACTGTTATTTAAAGTGCATAAGTACTGTTAATCCATAATAAGATTAGGTTACAAATATAAGGGTAGGTGTGGATCGGGAACGGGAATATTTCAGTTCATGAAAGCCTGTAGTTTTCAGAACTATAGTAGAACATGTCCACATTTTGACTGTGTTTATCCTAGCCACCACACATACAGTACTATTTATAGCAGATTGACCTTGAGTACCATATTATTCTGCGTTCTTATCAGACAGCCATTGGTGCCAACGCATCTACAGTCTTGGGAGTGCCAATCGAGTTTCGTGACGTGTCATGGAGGTATTGAATATTCTGAGCTTGGCTGTTCATTTCATCAGCTTCATTTCTTATCATGATTTTGGAGCCAGTAGGACTCGACTGTGTAATTTGAATTTATCTAAAAAAAAATGTATCTAATTTCACTTAAAAATTGTACATCAGGCATTGTAGCATGTCATATTTGTACTTCATAACTTAAATTTCTAAGTAAGACTTTAACACTGAACTCTGCTTGAAATTAAATTCTGTAAAATCTCTACAGGTTCAATCAGCTTTTTAATTTCAGCTAATCCATTTTAGACTCAAAATTATACAGTGCTACAGCTTAGCATTTTATGAAAAAAACTAACAAAGACCGATTCTGTCATAGCCAATTCAGCCAATCCGTAGAGAAGAAATGATTGAGTGCCCTCCTCTCTCTTCATCTGATTATTTTTACAGTTGAATTTAATTAAATTGGCTGAATTCAACTTGATGTTTGATATACAATTTCAAAATAAAGTATAAAATTTTTGTTTTACAACATTCATATCCAAATCTTAGTGGCATAAATTTGACAAAATTTCGTAAAAAAAAATATTTTTTGTTTACTGCAAAAGTTATGGTATTATCAAGAAACATGCAATACAATTTCACCCTGTGGAAGTTAGCTGCCTGTCCTTACCTCCCTTTCTCTCTAAGTGTGATGTCATTATTAGATCCTGTAGCCAATTAACTATATCAACAGTGTGTAATTTGATAGAATAACCCAATGATCAAACTAATAAAATGAGAATGAACTCTTTAAATGATTGTGTTTCTGATGTAAACATGTGGCTTTATCAAATTCATTCGATGAGCTTTATTGAAGAACTTTATCTTGCTGTGTGCAGTATTGGGGGCCACGGAACATATCGTGATGTTATCACTCTCGCAAGTAAGATAAGTTATCTACCCCTAACTCTAAGATCAGAGGATATCTCTCTCTTGCTCTCTTTCTCTCACACTTTCTTACCTGCAATCTGGATTTCTCTCTCTCTCTCTCTCTCCTTCACGTTCTTTCAGACATTGTGAAACTTTTTAACCCGGATGTAATTTTTCCGGCACCTTTGAGGACCCTGAATGATCATCCTTCAAGTCTTAATGAGACCGGCTTTAATTTAGCCGTCACTGGTCACAACACAGTGTAAGTACAACGTTCAGACACTCTATGCCTCTGGAATTTCACAGAAATATTTTAATTATATTTAAATATACAGTGAACTCCACTAATATTGGCACCCTTGGTATGTATCAGCAAAGACGGCTGTGAAAAATTGTCTTTATTGTTTAATCTTTTGTTTAAAAAAAATTCCCAAAAATACAAAAATACATAGAATTTGTTTTTAATGATTATAATGGGAATTGTATTGTTTAATGGAAAATGTAATGGTCCCTGTGTTCCTACTGGTAATTTGTTGAATTCTATTGGTGGCATGTTATGTCTTGTGGATACCAGTAAGCACCAATAATAGTAATGGTAATGCTTTTTAATGGTTAGCTGATGTTTTGTAATGGTATTTGTAGTGGAAACCATTAGAATGTCTGTGATGATTTCTACTGGGTTTTTTTTTTCATCTGGGATTTTTTTCTATTAACATCGATGTTAGATTTCACCCCACAGGAATCTACCGTTTACGCCTTTTCGATCTCCGTCATGCCTTTCAGCCTGTTTTACCATTAACGTCTAGTAACATTTAGTTACTTTTAGTTCTATGTTGCTATGAGCTAGAAAGTGTGGTTTGCTGCAGAGTCAGGCGCCTGGAGAGTCCGAAGTGAACACACGCACTGACAGATATGAGCGTTCACAGAGACTTCCGCTTTATTCATTCAAAACAGAAGTATTTATACGTATTATACACATTGATAACAGCAGTGTGTGGACGGTTTCTACTGGTCCAAGTGTCAGACAGATTTAGACAAAACACACAGCACATAGTTATGACACAAAATAACTCCCATGTCATATTGACACAGAAGTACATAATAATATAATCAAGGATAGCAGTTGATCAGCTTATTCAAAGAGGCAACTAAATGATTACATCCATCATATATTTGAGAGCAGTTCATCATATAAGAGGGTACATAATATAAAATATAAGCTGATAAAGAGAGAATTTCCTTTCAATCGATATCAGTAACAACAACAACAACAAAAATCCACACTGTGACATAATTAAAATTATGTTAATTTCAACCAATTTTGCTGAATTACTTTGTGGACATGAAAATAAACTTAAATGGATGCTCTCAATGCAGTAAAACCTCTTCAAAGCCCCATGCCATAATAATCAGGGGATAAAAAGCTAAAGTATTTCTGTGACTTTCTCCTACCTTTCAAAAACAAGTCGGCTGGTGAATTGGTGACGCTTAACTTGCATGTGTGTGTGTGTGTGTGTGTGTACTTTGTTCCTAATTGTGATAAGTATAAATGAATGTGATAAGAATATCTATGTGATAAGCATAATTAATGTGATGTCGGGGGAAAAAAGCTACACACTCAAATATACACACACGCATATACACCTACAAAATCTCAGATGTTTAAGAT